TGGAATTATATCCTGGCCACCAACCTTCACAGTGGGGATTTCCCACAACATGAATATGCTTAGGGCAGATCTACATTCTTCAATCACTTGTACTGGTACAAAATCTTAATTTGCTGAGGCCTGGTTGTGTACAGTATACTTCTGCCAGAGGATGCAATCTCATGGGGCCTGCAGGTTTATAGTATAGCTCTTTATAAATATGTGTATGCTCAGCAAGTGAGAACCCTTGTAAAATTATATTTCAGGCCAGGATGTGGCCATTGTTCTGGTTGAATATCTCCTTAAAAACATCAAGAGCTCAGTTCATAGGCATCTCTGACACAAGCCTTAACTCTTAAGTAGCTAACATTGACTGTTACTGTATGCTACTCTCTGTGTGTAACTTTAATTGGTGTCAGAGGCCTTGGATGCTTTCTAGCCATTTTAGAGTTTTATACGGTACTTATCACAGTAGTATCTGAGCACCCCCTATGGAAAATCAATAGAAATTGCAAAGTCCCTAGTCAAAAAGACTTTCATGAGCTACATCCGATGATGCATCCGATGAAGTGAGCTATAGCTCACGAAAGCTTATGCTCAAATAAATTGGTTAGTCTCTAAGGTGCCACAAGTACTCCTTTTCTTTTTGCGAATACAGACTAACATGGCTGCTACTCTGAAAAAAGTTCCTAGTGGATTTCATGGAATGTCTAGTGCTTTTTTCACGAACAGCAACTCTGCTTGGGTTAGGGTTGTTAGTTTAGATTTTTTAGATTTTATTAATTTCCTCTTTTTGTTAGAAGGGGTTATTGGGTAGGCAGGGATGTCAGTGCCATTCTTATGGTGGAAAGGTTTTTTAAAAGGAAAAGGTTTTGCAGCATTTCCTAAAGATGGTCAGACTCTGGATTTACCTGATCTCCTCTGAAAGTTTGTACCTTGACTGGATCTCCTTAAACAAGAGTGCTTTTATCTCCAACTCTCATGTGCTTAATCTCAGCTTTATGATCTGCATTGTCCCAGAGGAATATAGTTGCCAGGGTGGTTCTCACAGATTGAAATTCAATCTTTAATGTAGCTGGGGCATGATCCACTAATTCTGTTGAAAATTAGGGCCAAAACTTTAAACTGGCATCAGAAGCTGACTGGAAGTTAGTGGAAGGACTTGAGCATGGTCCTCACAGTGGCCTCAGACATGCAAAAGTGAGGCAGCTGCATTCTGTACTAGCTGGAGCCTGTGCTTTTCTACACATTTCCTCCTTTTTAACGTAAGGTGACACACCTCAATTCTAGAATTGTTTAGTGGCTTTTCTGACATCAGTTTATATCATGTGTCTCTCTTTCATTTTTTGGGCTTGTACAGAAATAAAGTAGGACTATTTTCAGAGATGTGCGAAATACACTTTGGGATAATATGTTCCTCTCACAAATGCTACTGTGCTTAATATTACTAGAACAGTATGGTCCCCATCGTGCTAGTCATTGCACACACACAATAAGAGTCTATGCCCTGACAAGCTTTCACTCCAGATAGGAAAGCAGAGGAACAGAGAAGTGAAGTGACTTGCTCAAAGATCACACTGCAGGTCAGTGGCAGAGTCAGGAATAGAATCAAGGCCTCCTGAGTCCCAGTCCAGTGCCCTACCCATTGGCCCTCTCTATCTCTCATGACCCTTGTACAATCAAAATCTTCCCTAAATGATATGCAGTCTCAGTCTCCTCCTTCAAACATCCCTTCAAAACCCACCTATTCCCACAATAACTCTCATTCCAACACTACTCATAGGATCTTCACCTGTTGTAAATCTGTATAGTCCCATTGACTTCATAACCTAAACCTTGTTGTGTATATAAACTTCCTTCCATGTTTTCCATGCTTAATGCCATCTTTCCCTTCCTCAAATCTAGCTTAGGGTACAATTCTGAATGAAGCTCTGCAAGGACTACTCCTGTGTCCTTGCATGGTTCCATTGATTACAGTGCGCATTGCATCGGGTCAGGGTCCTCATGTGCAGGTCTCCTGGCGGGATGGTGGTCCTTGATTGTAAGACTCCAAGAAATGGCATCTTGTCTTTAGTCTATCTGTGAAGCTCCACACTCTAAAAACTTTATGGCAAGATTAAGGTTGCAGGCACATATCAGCGTTCATCATTTGAGTGCATATCATCTTTCAGGAATGTTAGTCTTTAAAAAATGTGAGAAACCCAGAAAATGCAGAATTAAATTTGCATTTCTCAAACGAGGCACTCAAATTACCTTAATTTATATTGAGTGGTTAAGGCAATTGCTGCAGACTCAGTCTTAGCTCATTTTTAAGGTGTTCTCCTATTTTTCAGTATGTGGGTTTCTTTAGGAGGAATCCACCTTTTGACAGTATTACTGTGCCCTAACTAAGGACAATATGACTACATCTACCATTAGCAAAATGATTCCGTTTCCTTTATGAACTGCATTGAACTGCTCTGTCTGCATTATTTATTATGAACTGCTTTGTCTGCATTATTTAGTTTTCTGGTTTTGTCTGGAAATTCCGACTGCTTCGATCACATCTCCTCATAACGTGTGTAAAAGGAGTCAACCCCTTACTGCCTTTGAAGTTCAAAGAATCTCCCTGATTTTTGTCCCCCTGCCTTTCTATTGTTTCTAGTTCCTCAGGTTATACTGAACATAACTTCAAAATATTTGTGGTGAAAACAGTCTTTCATGAATCTCTTCTTTTGAAGGGACCTGATTCGGATTATGAAAGGCCAATCTTTTGCCCTCCCGCAACCCCACACTATCTTCCAGTGAAGAAGTTCTCAGGGCTAAACAGATGGTTCTTTCTCTGTTTCACTACTTTTTTGGTTAGATTTGCATTTTCTTTTTGGGATGTCTTTCTGATGAGCTAGAAAAAAGACTTAAATCTGCAATATGATTTACTCTTTGAAGTGAATTTCTCTCTCTCAACCACAGCTGCAGCCTTTTTACTATTTTCATCCTTCTATTCAGTTAGAAAATGAGAAACATTTTTACAAAGCCATCTTGGGAATTGGGCTTGATCTCTTTTTATAAAAAGAAAAGGAGTACTTGTGGCACCTTAGAGACTAACCAATTTATTTGAGCATAAGCTTTCGTGAGCTATAGCTCACTTCACCAGATGCTGTAGCTCATGAAAGCTTATGCTCAAATAAATTGGTTAGTCTCTAAGGTGCCACAAGTACTCCTTTTCTTTTTGTGAATACAGACTAACATGGCTGCTACTCTGAAACCATCTCTTTTTATGTATCTCTATTTGTTTGCTGGCTGTTTACCTCAACCTACGGAGGTTATTGTCTCTTACTGTAGTATATTGAGGGCACCTTTTCCTTTCCTTTCCTTTCCTTTCCTTTCCTTTCCTTTCCTTTCCTTTCCTTTCCTTTCCTTTCCTTTCCTTTCCTTTCCTTTTAATGGTAGTAAAGATGTTAGATTAATAGATTGAAATGGCATATATGCTAGTTTGCCATTCAAGACTGAAGATGGACAGAATAGTCACAAGATCTGCAGAACACAGACAAAGTATAATGTCTGGGATCCAGCCTGTAGAAGAAGTATCCTGCCTGTTCACCTTTCAAACTGATTGATGTTTACATAGTCATGTCATCTTGTTCAGAGTATGCCTGGTTATCTAGCAAGACAGCCACTTTTATACCTCTGATGTTACCCTGAACTACTCCACTGACTGGTGAGGAGAGCTAGCACACAGAACCCCATCCTAGGAAAGGCTATAAACTCTGGTAGTGGCTACTGAAGTCTGTATTGTGTCAGTGGAACATTTCCTGCATGCCAGAAAGATTAACTCAGGAGCGCTGTTGGAGACTATTCCTTGTCCTGACCAATAGGGTACTTTTGCCTTCAGTCTCATTGTTCTGTCTGGGAACAAAAGAGACCCCAGTTCACTCCAACATAAAGCTGGAGATCAGCTGAACATTTAGTAAACATCTTTGTTTGCCTATAACTTTTTCCATTTTTTGAAAATACTCTTAAGAATGGAAAACTAGTAGTAGAGAGGAAAATAACTTGGAACATTTTTGACAAAACTTTTTTTTTTAAAGCTCAAACATTTCATGGGGACATATCAGTTTTGACAAAGCTTTTGAAGGAAAGGTTTCAGAGGCCCACAGTGGTTACTTCTGAGGAGAATGAGAGACCTGAATCAAAAGCCTGATCTTTTAAATCCAAAAATGGACATTTGGGCACAATTCTGTTTTCCGAAAATATTCAAATGGTTCCATTTGTTTCAATATGGAACAAAAACAAATTTTGATATCTTGAAAGTTGTCATGAAATAGAATTGTTGTCCTCCAGCCAGCTCTGGAAGTAACTCAATTTGCTGGCTAATAGTGCATGTAAAACTGAATATCACAGCCTGGAATTGGTATATTGGCTATCTAGAGACAGGTAATTCTGATGGGAATTTTCCAGGGAAACTCTGAATATTACTATTGATTATCTGTATTCTCATAATGCCTAGGAGCCCCAGTCATGGACCAGGACTCCACTGTGCTAGGTACTGAACAAACACAGAATAAAAAGACAGTCCCTGCCCCAAAGAGCTTGTGTAACCCACGTGCCTAATAGGGAGAGAGCTCTTTGAGAGACCCCTGGCGGGGAGGTTAGGAGTGAGTCATGTCTGAGTTATTGTTTTTTTTTTCCCCCTTGTCTTTATTGATTTAGGCTTCGGAGATACAGCCCAAAAGAGTGCATCCCTAGAAAATCACCACACATGTTATTGATACAGCACTGTCATATGTTCAGAATCTTAAGCCTTCAACAAATCACAGAGCGAACATTCAAACTAATGTTTTTCGGCAAAGCAGACTGAATAGAGAGGACATGGGGAGGGATTTTTTTGCTTTGAAGAGAAACATTTCAAACAGGAACGAAGAGCCTCTTTGTTAAAAATGCAGCCCTAGCCACCATGTAAAAATTGTTACAAAAATTAGACAGTTCATTTAAGACAGTCATGTTTAATGTAATGCACTGTTGGAATCTTCATGTGAAATGTTGAGGGGGTGATGAGGCTGTGTTCTAGTTACAGGTACAATCCAGTTGTCAGCAGCCTGTATGCCATTGAGATGGTAACTGCATACCCAGCTGCCCAAAACAAGACTCTGCTGGGCTGGGGGAGAGGTGTCAAATACGTGATAGTGTGAAAGATTCTATCCCCAACGAAGATCCTGAAGTGCAGCAAGGCTGTGGACAGAGCAGGGCCACTCAGAGCATAGAGCAGACCAGTGCTAATATATGGGACAATGATTTCAAGGTCGTTCAGGTGGCCTCTGCACACACATTCAAAGGCTGAGTCAGTCCACAGGAACTTCTTCGCATTCTCACCTTTGCCAAACGTTGCTGTATCTTCTGAGTTACTAAAGACCTTTCTTGTAATTCTGAAGTATGCTGTTATAACATTCGTTAGCATCATTTTTAAAAGGACAATGGTTGTGTAGGTAGCATAAGCCAGGAACACCTCACTGTCAATTAGCTGGGCAAGTTCAGCCATTTCTGAGTATCTCACTGAAGACCTGGCTTCCGATCGGCTAGGCTGGTAGGCAGAGTTAGCACTCCACATCCAGAAGTTTCTAGAATTGCGTGTGGTAGGTTTGGGTGTGCTCCAGTAGGTTCCCTGTTGCTGGGGTCAGACTGCATGAGGGAAAACAGTCAGGGCAGCTGCTTTGCAAAAGGCCATGTGCCCTGTGTGGGTTGGGAGCAGCTGAGCCCAGGAACAGAAAACAGGCTATTGTCCCTAACTCTGAAGCATTTTGAAGCAGTTTTTTTTTTTAAATTTATATACTTAACTGTGTGGTTGACTAACCAGTTAGCTGACTGGCTAACAGTGATTTCAGTAGGGGAAGAGGAAGAGGAGGAGTCTGCATAGATTCCAACTGAAGATTCCTACAAGCAAGTGGAGGGAAGATGTTGCTTTTGACTCAGCAGGCTGCATAGATGTAGTGATCAAAGATTCTAACTGAGACTCAGGTGAACTCAATCTAAACTTTTGGGAACTCTGTGTTTCTTCTCATGGTGTTCAAAAATTTGTTATGAATAATAAGCTCTGAGAGCTTACCATGCCAGTTATTTTTATTTTACAGTTTCTTTCAGAAGCAACAAAAACACAAACCTTGTAATTTCTGCTAGCTATTTAAACTTATAGCAAACAAGAAACAGGCTCAGGTAACCAGAGAGTTGCAAGAATGCACCTTCTACAGGTAGGCTGAAAGACGAGTGAACCTTATCCTGAACTCTTTTTTAAGTTTCTCTTTGTCTTATCCAATTTAAACTATAAGCTCCTTGGGGCAGAGAATGTGCATTATCTGTAAAATATGGAGGTTGCTTATGTAGACTTATGCTATTCACTTAAAAAAAATCATTGAGATGGCATCTTCATGGGCTGTAGTTCAGCATATTACTCGTTATTCTCCTAGGAATACCCACGCTTTGAGCACATTAACAATGAAAGAACAGCAGCAGGAAGATAAATGCATTTTGACAAGATTGCGTGTATTTATTTGAAGCATAGAAATTGCATATATCACAGAGCATCATGAAGTTCTTGTTTTAGTGAAGGTGCTTTTTTTCCTGAAGGGCTGTTTCCTCCTGCAAAACTTCTTAAATTTATAGGCATGCTTTAAATCCAGGTCAATAAATGATGTATAATTTCTGTAATTATTTTAAGAATTCATTTTCAATGCTGAGTTCCTGTGGCATTTGTCAAATCCATCCTTTGATTATTTTCCTCCATCCAGGTCTTATATCCTTTTCTGCCCTAGATTTTTTTATTTTTATTTAAGGTGCCCTTTGGGTACCAGCGGTTAGCTTTTCTCAGGCATCTATGTCTTATATTGTTGAGATGATGGAGCACCTGAGGCCAACAAAATTCACTGTAGATCCAGTTCCTGCTTGGGTGCTGAGGGAGTGTTTTTAGTTGGTATGATTACATTTAAACAGGGAACAGTAAATTTGTCATTAGGACCCCGAACTCATTCATCAGATTCAAAAACAGGCCTTGATCCTCAACAGCAAATGGTAAGTCTAATTTGTATCCATTTTCCAATTTATGCTTTTTAAAAAAATCAAAGGTCCTTGAATGAGTTATTTATATTCTGCTGCAAACTCATCTTGAGCCATTTGATTTAGTTTTAAAATGTTCATGTCAAGCATTAGACTGCACCATGGCTCGGAAACTGCCTTGTTAAAGGTGCATGGAGATTGACATGAGCTGATTCAGGCTCATTGTCACATTAGTTTCGTTTCGTTTCGTTGGATATCTGAGCAGCATTTGTTCTTTTTAAATTTACATTAGATTAAAATCCACCCAATACTTAGAGGGGCAACGTGTCAAAATGTTCCCCAGCCCCCCGAGTCCTTGACGCAGATTTCTGATGCGGGGAATCACACCTTTCCCAGCTATGGTCACACATGTGCATGTCACACCAAATTTATGATGGTAGTGATTATGGCGAATAGTGATGGATGTCAGGAAACTAGAGACCAGAAGACCTAAAAATATGGCCTTATATATAGTATATAAAATATTGTTGCATATGGAACAGTACTTAACAGCTACCCATCACCAAAGGGAGCATATTGCTTGCAGACCAGATTCTTCATGAGTAAGTGATGAATAGGATCCAGCCCCACTTTTCCCCACAAGAACTGCTCACACACACACGACTTCAAAAATTGGATGTTAGCAGTAATATAGGTGCCTCAGACTGATTAGAGAGATGCCATCTAACTTTATTAAATACAAACCCGTCAAACTAGTAAAAACAGGCTCTCAGTGTTTTCTGAGTGACACACCCACACATAATTGCACTTTAAAATGCTCTAAACCACATCCCTGAAGTTCAAAATAATTGGGTAACTGTTTTTTTTTTAAATGCTCTTATGTGATATTTGCCTATGAAAATCCAATTTATCCTCATTGTGCTGGCTACAAAGCAGGATTTGGGTCATAATACTTGGGGATTCTTCTCAAGCACAATCTTTGAGTGCTGTGTCACATAACAATCTCTAAGGCTAGTGTGCTTCTCAAGATAGTTGAGCAGGTACATGCTTGTGCATGTACCCCATACCCATGTCAATCATTCACATATGCTATGTTGTATACCTGCATCCACACTGCCTCTGTTTGGTAGGTGATGTTAGCACTACCATTTCTGGGGCAGCATCCTAGGATTCTGGCATCACAGGATACACTCTAGGAACATGCACTAGTTGGTTGTTGGTACAGTCCACTGGCTTTGCATGTTTGTTGATGGCAGTTCTGTTACCAGAGATTATGACCTGCTTGGATCCTGTATAAAGATTGCAGCACCCTGGAAAGAGATAATGACAGTTGGGGGGGGGGGGAGGGGTATGAAACATTGTGCATAATTCACCTCTCCCAATTACCTTTACAAAGGTAGTGATAGCAGCAGAGTGTTTTAGTTTGCAGGGAACAGTACTTAGTTTTAGGCTAGATGCTTTAGATAAGCTATAAATAATGATAGTTTGGAGTTAAATGTCCAAAATGGTGGACACACTGATTTACTATTAGAAATTCTCAAAATGGAGGACACAGACTAAATTGACCAATAGCAAGTGAGAAACAAAGGTCGAACAAAGTGTGACTCGACTCACTCCAAAACATCTGCAGATAGGGGTCAGGAGGAAGATTAGCTATGATGTCACGGCAGAGCTGATTGACTTAACAGTTGCCACCCATGCAGAGAGCACTCAGCTTGAAAAGTCAACCACTCGGAAAAGGCCAGAAACTGAATATCATTAAGGCTGGCCAGGAGAAGGTTTGGCATGAGTGTGTGAGAGTGGAGAAGACCAGGAAAGGAGCAGCAGGAGAAGACCAAGAACAGCAGAGAAGGCAACCAAGCAGAAGCAGCAGTGATAGAGGGAAAGGATCAGAGTGAAGGCAGACAGAACAGAAGGACCCTAGACAATTCAGAGGGATAGCGAAGGAGCGTAAGTCTGGTTTTAGGATGATTCTTGAGTAATGACAGAGTATACCTGTAAATAAAGCTGAATGCCTGCTTCTGAGTGTGATCTACCCCATCCCATTTCATGGCTATCTGATCACCACTCACAAAATGGTAATCTTAATGTTTCTTTAATGTTATCTTTCAATACTGTTCTGTACATGTGCATAGGGTATTTGTATGCTACATTGTAATAAGTCTAATGTTGAAGGCCTTATGCATATGTATAGAAGGGTCAGTGTGCATCAATACCACAACATTGTATTTGTCATACAGTCGTTGTAGTTTTCTGTGTCAATTGAATGTATAATCTTTAAGTGTAATGTCATTGTGCCTTACTACCTGTTATACACTGTACTGCTTTCTTTCTTACTTTATTGAATATACTGTAATTGCCTAATTTTCTCTCAATAAATGAGACTTTGTTTTTGAAGAACTACTGCTTGTATGATAATCCTTTGAGCGGAGGGCTGTATATGTGTGCTTTCGAGGGTTAGCAGGATTAGCCTGTTCTGGGGAGTCCTCTGTGGGTCAGACACAAATCCCCTGGTAATACCCTGCCAATTCCTTTAGGGCAGGTCACCACCTTCCTCCCTATTTGGCAGAATAAATTAAAAATAAATTTATAATTATAGGTAGGCCAGTATTGGAGTGCCTTGGGTCCAAATCTTGGGGTAACAGTTCCTGCTCATCTCTCCCTTCTGCCAAACTGGGTGGAAGTCACGGAGGAAAGTGACTGATGACATGGTTCTGCTCCTGCACCTCCTTGCAAGACAAATGTTTACTGCAGTCAATAGTTGAGATACTGGTGTTAGGGGGCTTATTCCTTCACCCACTTACTTCCCTGGTCCTTCTCGCATGAACAGAGAGCAACAATACCCGAAGTCCAAAGGTGCAAACAATTCGATGTTTATTGGGGTGAACTTCCAGCAAGCATGATTCCAGTTTCCTTCCTTAGTATCCTCCTTCCCAGCTCTGACACCACAAAGCCTTACGCCTGTGTCCCTGTTCTCATTCCTACCCTTAGCCAAACATGATTCCAACTTCCTTACTCCCATTCCCTGTTCCCATTTCCCCCTTTAGCAAAACATGATTCCAATTTTCTTACCCCCATTCCCTGTTCCCCTTTCCCCCTTTAGCAAAACATGATTCCAATTTTCTTACCCCCATTCCCTGTTCCCATCTCACACACCCACATGCCCACCCCCACCCACACCCAGTCACTTCCTCATTGACTACAGATTATATAGTAAAACTTGAGTTCTGCTTAGCTATACCTTAACCAATCATTTTCCTGAAATTTAACTAACCAATCCTAACATATTGTAACATGATTATGTAACCAATTATATCCCACCACCTCAATTAGTTTACACCCAGCAAAATTAATTATACAGCAGACAGGAACAATCACAGAACCAGACAGAGATTATACAGACAAACAACAGCAAAGTGGGAACTATAATGACAAAACAATACAGAAGTGAGGATTTCACATCCCAGCTATTGATAAGTGAGTTCTTGCCAGACAGGATGCTATCAAACTAAGTTTCCTTTTACATTTTCTA